CCCTGACCACTTAGCCAGGGCTAAATGAACAGTTAGCAACATTTTAACTCCCGCCTCTCTCTTAAGGCCCCTGTATCAGAGCTTCGCTCCATCTTAACCTCTCTACAAACACGTCCTTCTGATTTCTGCTCACATAACCAACATCAACACACGCTCTCCTTCAGATAGTCTGTATCAATCCAATAAATGCAAAAGCATGATTAATCACGTGCGGTGTGTTTCGTTTTGGTGCCAAAAGCCTCTTTTGATATCGGGACAAAAATGTGACTAATGCATGCCGTTCTTTCTTTACTCTGGACATCTGTCTATTCTTCATGCCGACGCCTACCACCTGACAAAAGCTGTGTTTTTTTTTTTTTTTAATCAATGTGTAGGATGTTTGCACCTATATTCATCTGCTGTGTTATTAGGCTTCAAGAAACACACACAACACACACAAGTAAAAACAATAGAAAAAGCCTGTGCTTGAATTAATCTTTACCCCCGCGCTATAATTTAGGCGCAGAATGACTAATGTGCGAGTCATAAACAAATGAAGTCGGGTTTTGGGGAGCATTCGTCTTGCAGCGAGGGCCATGTTATTTTAGGGAGGGCGGCTGTCTTTAAGTCCTGATTGTGTCGCTTAATCCCCGTGGTATCTGTTTCATAGCGAGCAGCATGACACTCACCTGAACAAATAATGACTCCAAGCAGCATGTAGCATGTGTCTGAATCAATAATTCAAACTCATACATCTTCCTTACTGGAAGAAGGGGGGCACAGGAGAATGAGAGAGAGGGAGGGAGGGAAAAAGAGAGAAAGGAGGGAATTAAAGATGGGGAGGTGGGGAGAGGGAGAGATAGAAAGGAAAATGTGTCTTGGCTTCCATATCAATCTATATGTTCCATGAAGATGAACCTAAATGTGATATGGATGTCATCCTACGCCAGTTGAGAGGACATTTTAAGCTCACTTACCAGGAAGGATGGAGCAGCTTTAAAATGGCGCCTTTATCACCTGGCTCTTAGCTCAAATGCATATTTAAACAGCCCTGTTTTCTTCTTGTTCTCATCAACTGACTTGGCAGAGACTTTATTTGACCAACAGATGTATGTTTGCATCTGTATTTCCTTCCCCCTTCCTTCCTCTCTGCGGTATTTATAGAACAGCTTGTCGCCCATGCCACCGTGGGAGAGGTAAATAAGATGAGTGAAGAGATGCTATCTTTTATTGTAAGCATTATGCACAACACTCCTGCTTTATGAGCTAAACGGGCCATTGTTTATCACAGGGCGTAATCGCAAAGTCAGGCAGGCAGGCCTTGACGTGGGCATGCGGCATGCTGGGATGGAGGGAAAAACTGAGAGAGAGAAAAAAAAAAGGCAGGAGGAGAGGAGAGAAGATGGAGGAGTCAGGGCTGGCAGAGTTGACTATCAGTGGGGGTTTTGTAAGGATGAGAGGAGGGTTTGCGTCTGTTTTTATGGGATCAGATGGAGCGCTTTGATCTTGTCCCCGCATGTCAGATCCCGTCACGATCCACCGTCTCGCCCATACATATGCATACTGCCTCTAAACAGCCAGGCACCATGCAAAACACACCAAAGGTGTAGAGGTAGAGGGAAGGGAGAGAGGGAGAGATGGAGAAAGAGAGAGTGAGAGAGGGGTTGAGTGATTTTGTGTATGCATGTGTAGTTATGCACGTGTATAAAAGAGGGAGAGGGGCTAAGAGAGACAGAAATAAGAGAGAAAGAGAGTTTCTGCCAATGTAAAATATTGAAGACTTATAATGCTTTCTAGATCTGAATTTAAAACCAACAAAACAACCACAAATGCTGCCAAAGCGACCTATTTCAGATTCAACATAGTCCGAGGAAGTTCTGGAACTCATAATTTTTAGGATTTTAGGGGTGTCAAGTGTATGTCTTTGGCTATGGTTGGAACTGTATGTAATGAAGCAAAGGAAATAAGAAGCAGCCTGTTCTGCTTTCAACCCTACATATGAATGAATATAGAACATAGACTGTGATATCATGATATTATTGATGATGATATCATATTAATATTATATTAAAACACAAGAAATGCATAAATTATTATCAGTTGTAGGCCTCTAAACTTGAATATTTTTGCATATTTTTCAAGAACTGCAGATATCCAGGTCTAAAGCACATGTATTATGTGGCTAAATGGCCAGTGATGTCACAATCACTTCATTAGATTCATATGCGCTTAATCACAAGATAAATAAAATACAACAATATGTGGTATAATTTTCAGACGTCTTTTACAATTCTGTCGCACATATATCTCTCATTTCCTTCACATGGACGTTTGTCTGAGGAGGACATTATGTTGGGTTGAAACATTACAAATAACAGAGCTCTGATATCATTCATCATTCATCCATTTTTATTTTATTTATGTAAGATTTTTTAATGGTCATATCTTTTTTTAAACCCTCTATATATGTGTTTGGTATTTCTGGTGTTAAACTATTGCACAATACCAAGACCAAACCACAGCCAAAGATAACTGCTATAGACAAAAAAACCCAAAAAAAAACAACAACATTAGTTAGTAGAATTATACTCATCATTTTGCATTGACTACTCCTACTACTTTTTCACATCATTGTCAAACTCTGATCAGCAGAAGCCACAGCGGGAATAAACTGTAATCGTAAGCAAGTTCTACTTCCAGTCATTACATCTCTGCTTTTCTTTCCATCTCTCCATCCCCTCCCTCTCTTTTTTTCTCCTCTCTTTCTTTTTCCCTCTGATCACGAAGCAAGGCGACATGATTGACACCCCCCGTGCAGATTTATTCAAAGACCCAGGTGGGCCTTTTGCCTGTATGTTCAGAAAGCTGCATGCTACTGTGTCTATACTGTCACTCATTACCATATCTATACTGTGGTGTGATCCTGTCTGATCAGTTCAGGCATATAGGGCTACTGTCAGAACATCACAGGCCACACTGGCCTTAATTGTGATATAAATCCCTCAGGAGGAGTTACTGTACCTCTAACAGGGGTTGGAGAAAAAAAAAGACCTGACTCATTACCACACACTCACTATCGCCCCCAAGTGGTGAGGTGGTGCTTGTTGAGAGGGATCTTGAAGAGAGTATGTTGAGTGTAAACTGTAATAATGCGTTCTGGGTGAAAATTAAACAATAGTGTGTTAAAAAGAGGCCAGTTTTGTATGATGAGGAGCAAAAAGGGATGGAAAAGGGATTGGGATGTTTATTCTAACCGCACAATTCACCAAATCAGACAGAAAATATGACTTTCACTGACGTTGTCATAGCTTAGGGCTAAGCTGACACCCTTGCTCCCTCTGACTGCGAGTCTATGCTGCGGAGCATCACACTAATTCAATTGGCATGTAAACAAACTGATTTTCTTTTTGTTAATTGACTGGATTAATTGCTTTGGCCTTTTTGGGCAGCTAAGGATTCTTTGCCTGGGTTTTCATGTTGTGTTGGCCGGTCGGTATAGAGGAAAAAAAAATCTGCCGATGCTCTCACACTGCAACACAAAGACAGAGACAGAGAGAGAGAGAGACAGAGAGAGACAGAGACAGAGACAGAGAGAGAGAGACAGAGAGAGAGAGAGACAGAGACAGAGAGA